AGTATTCCACGCAGATAAATTAAAGCAGCAAATAAATAATTATCGTGTTCTATACCTTTCTCGGACATTTGTTTATAAAAACAAATCTCAAAAAAAAACAAAAAAAAAACAAAACATACTATATAAAAAAAATTAAAAAAAGAATAAAAAATACAATATATCTAAAAACTTAAAATTGAAACTATTAAGAATTGAGTTTTATAACACATATAAACAAATTAAAATTCAATAAAGACAACTAAATATAATATTAGACAACATTATAATAATAATATTAATATTTTAAATTAGCAAAAACAAATTTGCAAAAATTAAAAAAAAATTATATCAAAAGAATCAAAATTACAAAAGTTTCTAATTGACAAGTAAAAACTAGAAAAAAAAATAAAAAGTAAAATTGATTTTGAACGTATAATAGAAAAAAACATAAAATCAAAGTTGTAAAAAGAAAACCAGCTTTTTATATTGATATATTTACTATTTATATTTTTTTTTGTTATATATATATTCTTGAATTGATTTTTGTTTCAGATAATAACTGAAACACTTCAGGTGTTTATTGTTTTATCATTAACTGATCGATATTAATTGGCCTAAACTATAACCTAATTCTTACTCTAACTCTAATATACGAGTAGCATGTATGCACACTATTATTTTAATGTAACAATGAAAAAAAAATTATAACCGTAAAAAATCGAATTTTTTTTTTTGAATTTCCGGCACTTATTTAACTTATAAAGTCATCCAAAATAACAATATATATGTAAATAATTCTTTTTTTTTTTTATTCGACCAAAATATATTGTCGGTAAACTTTTGAGTTATTGACATTTTCGCGTCCCAAAATGTTTCGTACACAACGGTATCAGTTTAGGCTTGAAAGTAACGTAATTCAATCGAAAAAAAAACCATCTTTCTTTACATCTTTCTTTTTTTGTCCATTGCTTTGAAACAATCAGAAAACTTAAACGCGTGTTAATTCGCCCAATCAGCAACGAGATTTTCCGTATCCAACCAGAATTATAGGATGAAGTTAAATTCCATCTGTAATTAATAGTAGATCCCTTGGTTGTATTTGTAATGTGTGCTAAGAGAGGTTTTACTTTTGGCAGCTCTAATTATTCTTTTGTTAGGGGCATCATCTTTTATCAGGGATTTCGTCTTTCGTCACCGTCCATAATTTTCTTCAGGAGCTTCATATATCGTCATTTTGACGAAACATTTCGATTTTCACCAGCTTTTAGTTTTGCCTGTCATCCTCACATTAGAAAGATTTCATCAAACAATTATAGATCTGATAATGATATTTCAATCGATTCAACGCTAACAAAAAATTCTGTACCGAAAAAGCTAGTTTCGACAAATTTCAATGAATTCAGAGCCCTTATAGAGAAGTTATATTTTTATAAGAATGATCGTGAGAAGGCATGGGAGATTTATAGAAATATTGTGAATAACGATCTTATGGTCCATATGAAAGTAGATCACATGGAATTGTTGCTTAACCTTTTATGTGATAATCCAGACAAGAGAACTTTTGACTTACTTGACCAAGTAATGAAAGACGTCTATTTGTTTCGTAAAAGAAAATTAATAAGACCTATTCTTTACGCGCGAGTGATGAAATTATCGGCACGACTAGGAAATGTCAAGATTGTAACCGATATTATAAGGCAAATGACAACTTTGGGATATTACATTGAAAGGCCGCACGTTAAGGAAGTCGTAAAGCAATGTGTTGATGTTGAATCAGCGTACAAGATTCTTGATACAATAATTGTAAGTCATTTTGAGGCTGACTGCGAATGGTATCATTCACTGATCGAGGTGTATTGTGAGAATGAAGATACTGATGTTGCTTTAGAAGTACTCAGGCTGTACAATTTATCGGGTCAGAGACCTAGGATAAAATTTTATAGTACTATAATTCATAAACTTTCTAAAAAAGGAGAAATGGAATTGGCAGAAGTATTGGTAGATGAAATGACCGAATACTTCGGTCCGCCTAACAATTCAATGTTTAATTCTCTAATGGCTGGATATAGCAAAAAGAATGATTTTGACATGGTATTTAAGACTTATCAAAAGATGCTAAACATGGGTATTAAGCCAACCAAGGATATTTACACCACTCTTATCTTTTTTCATCTTCGACGGAAGGAAATTTTTGAGGCATCTGTTTTATATAAACAAATGTCCGAGAAAGGTATAGAACACGATAATTATTTATTTGCTGCTTTAATTTATCTGCGTGGAATACT